GCGTGCTTCATAATGACGCAGATATTTGAAAGAGCGTGCCACATAATTCCCCTTTCCAATTTTGAAATTCCAGCATATGACATGTCATGTACACTTTGAGCTGGCTTTTAAGTGTCCACGTGTAAAAAAAACTTTAGAAAGGTTCACAAAGGCCTAGATTTGACCTGATCTTCTCAAATCTATTTCCATCTAGTGCCTTAGTAAAGATATCTGCAAGTTGTTCCTCTGTTGAAATGTGTTCCAACGTTACTGTCTTATTTTCTACCAGTTCACGTATGAAGTGATGTTTTATATATATGTGCTTGGTACGTGAGTGTAAGACAGGATTCTTTGAAATACTGATTGCACTTGTGTTATCACAGTAGAGAGGTTTCGTGCCAAGACTGATCCCATAATCTGCTAGCATTGACTTCATCCATAGTAATTTGGCGCAACAACTTCCAGCCGCTATACACTCTCCTTCAGCAGTTTACAAAGACACTGAATTTTGTTTCTTTCTTATCCAAGCTACCAGATTTCCTCCCAGAAGAAAACACCCTCCTGAAGTACTTTTTCTATCATCTATGTTTCCAGCCCAATCACCATCACTGTAGCCTGTGAGGTTTGCTGTACCACCTTTGACGTACCACAATCCTAGATTTTTTGTATCTTTGATATACTTTAGAATTCTTTTTACTGCCTTGAGATGTGATTCTTTTGGACTTGCCTGATATCTGGCACAAACTCCTACATTGTAGCATAAGTCTGGCCTGCTGGCTGTTAGGTATAGTAGACTTCCTATCATTCCTCTGTATCTGGTACGGTCAACATCTTTTCCCAGGTCATCTCTGCATATCTTCTCATGTGTTGGACAGGGTGTTCGAGCACTTTTACACTCTCCCATGTCAAACTTTTTCAGCATATTTTGAGCATACTTTGTTTGAGAAATAAATATTCTGATCTGTAGACCCAAGAAGAAGGTTAGCTCACCTATCATGCTCATTTCGAATTCTGTCTCCATGACTTTTACAAACTGGATTACCTGTGTCTTTGACTATATATATATATATGTGTGTGTGTGTGTGTGTGTGTGTGTGTGTGTGTGTGTGTGTGTGTATATATGTATGTATATATATATGTATGTATGTATGTATATATATATATATGTATATATATATATATGTATGTATGTATAAAATACATATTTTCGGCACAAATAAATAATGAATATTTATTTTAATGATTTATTTAAGTCCAATATTTATTCAAAGACTAAAATAAATCATTTTACTATATTTCGAGATTAAGAAATAATTACCAAGTTAAAACTAATTTTCAACCGAAAAAGTTCTACGAAAAACTATAATTTTGTACGTTGGCTCTCANTTTTGAGCATACTTTGTTTGAGAAATAAATATTCTGATCTGTAGACCCAAGAAGAAGGTTAGCTCACTTATCATGCTCATTTCGAATTCTGTCTCCATGACTTTTACAAACTGGTTTACCTGTGTCTTTGACTATATATATATATATGTGTGTGTGTGTGTGTGTGTGTGTGTGTGTGTGTGTGTGTGTGTATATATGTATGTATATATATATGTATGTATGTATGTATATATATATATATGTATATATATATATATGTATGTATGTATAAAATACATATTTTCGGCACAAATAAATAATGAATATTTATTTTAATGATTTATTTAAGTCCAATATTTATTCAAAGACTAAAATAAATCATTTTACTATATTTCGAGATTAAGAAATAATTACCAAGTTAAAATTAATTTTCAACCAAAAAAGTTCTACGAAAAACTATAATTTTGTACGTTGGCCCTCATACCACTGAAAGGTAACCGCAGTTGGAAGGGCAGCGGAAATACAAAAATTTAAACTTCCAAAAGTGATTACTAGCCCAAGAATACGTACTAAAACTATAGCTAGAGATAGAAACATATATCTTCTCCGGTAAAGCGGTATGAACGAGAAGTCGAGCAAAACATGTTGAAGGAGCAAACGTAGCCGTTCAAGCGTCCGGCCTCCAACTTTGACACACAAACAATCTCCGGAGTCTACTATAATCTTTATGCTAGTATAGATTATAGTATATTTAATATAAAGATTTAAGAGGGATAATATTAATCTTGTATATTAAATAGTAGAAAATATATCAATAATATTTTGAAGAAAATATTATAACAATTTTCTACACCCAAAACAATAATTTTGGAACTTAAAATTCTTTCTCTTTCTAGTTTCCCTTTTGCTGGCCGAAAGTATTGTGTGAGAGTTGTGAAAACCAATTGTTTCCTTTATTCAAAATGATGAAACATAAACATCAATAATAATCCAAAAACCTTTTTGTCTAAATCTTCTCCATACGTTTCATAAAGTGGGAGACAAGCTCCCCACTTATGCATGCAAGTACGAAAGGTGAAGGGGGGAGGAGTTTAATTTTCCTCCTCTCAAATGTTCAAAGTGTATTTTATTTGATATCAATAATTTTTATGATATAAAATAAAATACCCAAAACATTTTAAAACAAGTATATAAAATATACTTTATAATAGTTTTTGTCAAAATAATTATTTTCATAATTAAGATGACACTCCAAAATAAAATGTACACAATATAATATATATAAGAAGTAACATATATACATACATGTACACGTTATATACATGTTAAACACGTATATACATATGAGCATACATATAATGAGAATATATATATGGGTGATGCTAAATCCACCCCAAATACAAATATATATATATATATATATATATATATATATATATATATATATGTTAGAATATGTGCCCTTCACTAGAGGGGGGTGAATAGTGAAGCACGAGAAAGTTTATAAATTTTCGCGGAATAAAAAATCGCAGAGATAAAGTAAAGAGCGGAATAAAAAGGAGTAAAGGGAGCACACCAAGATTTATACTGGTTCACCACAACGTGTGGCTAGTCCAGTCTCCCGAGAGACTCTCTCGAGCTACACTACTTCCTGTTGGAGTTGGTGCCCTTATGGCCAACTGCTGTTGTAATATCTTAGATATTTTCTATCATGTAAAGGCAGATGCATTAAGTTTACAAACATCTCATGCTAATGTAAACTCTTAATTGCATTCCTAGAATTATATTATAAGATGTTTATCAGAATGAGTCTTCTGATGTTGAGACTGACATCTTGTCACACTACAAGAAATTATGTCTTTCGCCACACTTAAAATTGCTCTTCGCAACATATATAAGTGTGGCAAAAAGTGTTCGCCACACATGAGCTAAGTGTGGCGGCTAAAAGTGTGGGGAAAATTTTGCGACACATAATAAGTGTGGAAAATTGAATACGGTAAGCACACTTGTAAGTGTTGCTAATCTTGTCTTTTGCGACATTTATATGTGTTTCCAACGCACCGCACATGTAAATGCGGCAATTTTTATTTGCTTGAAAAAAATAAATAAATATAATATGCACACAAACATGTGTGGCTAATCACAACTCTGTAACTAATTTTTAAACATCGTTTTTGACGGTATTTTTCAAATATTTTAAAGATTCGTAATATATATATATATATATATACATACATACATACATATAAATTAAAAATCAAGACAATCAAAGTTTAAATTAAATTAACTTCTTGCATATAAAGAGCTATGCTATCATCAAATTATAAGTACCTCCATGGGTATAGTAGTACGTATATCAAAAATCTAGAGTCAAAACAAATGAGTTCAAAATTAAAAAGGAATGCAATTTATATTCAGTATTCTATGATATGTCCTCCAACCAGTGCACAATGTAGATCTTCACTTTGTATTCAAATTGGTGCGGAATCACTCATGCATAAGCCTGACTTCAGTTTATAAATTAATCTACTTCTGCTCTCTTATGCATAAGCCTGACTTCAGTTTATAAAAAAGCTTTACCATCTTTTCTTGTGTTATTATCTTTGTTCGACACCTGCAAAGTCCAAAAAACTTTGAATTAAATCTCTATCATATAAGAATTATGCAAAAAAAGTGATACCTAAGTATAAAAAGACATGCAAAATAGTGAAAGGCAGCCAGCTAGATAAAACTCTATCCTATATTTTCTTATTCTGCATTATTGAAGACGAAAATTAGAGCTCTAGATCATGTAGTATCATGATATCATTATCACCTTAGTCCCAATTAATTGGGGTCAGGGACTTGAAAGTTATAGTCCCACTTAGTTGTTTAAATAAGTTTAACACTATGAAATTTATGCAAAAAAGTGTTTAACAGATCTAGACTAGTGCCTGTCGTTGGACTAGTGTTTTCATAAATTGGACTAGTGTTTAAAAAGTTTAACAGTATGAAATAATAGCCTCGGTCGTTGGACTAGTGTTTAAAAAGTGTTTTCTCTCCCTGTCGTTGGACTAGTGCCTCGACTGAGGCTATTATTGCTACCGGGAGTCCCACGACCGAGGCTATTATTACCCTACGGCATGTATACCATAGCTACTTAGAAAAACATATTCTCCATCACATATAGTTACTCGAAGCAGGGCAAAAATTCTTGAAGGGAGGAAGCTGATTCCAGTAGGATGGGGTGAATCATGAGATATATCAACGTGATGAGGTGTGTTCTGCCTTGAACCGTCACGATACTCACTCCTTGTTATCGATGCATCATGTCTCAGTACTTCAGTAGTGGGGCACCCTTTAAACGGTAAATCTTGCCTTGAATCTTCATGAGACTCACCATCATTCATGGGATTAGTATGGTCTGAACTGTGATCCCCAAATTTAGAAGTTAGAGAGGCTATTTGATCTTTCATCTTTTGATTTTCATCTTCCATCATTTGCAATTTCTTAAGGATTTTCGCCATTGCAGTTGGCTCAGCATCGCAACGAATCTTACGTAGGTCTTTCGCATTAACTCCACGGCCTAGACCTGTCACTTTTCCCTTTTCCGGTTGAGGACCCATTAATATTTATGAGAAAATTTTTCTGCCTCTTTTGTTTCTTCTGAAAAGTTACAATCTCCAGTCTTTTTCTTAATAATAGCCATGGCTGTGTTCTAACTCAAAACAAAAAAAATACATTAATTATTAATTTTAACCTCATATCAAAGTAACACCCACATGATATATATATATATATATATATATATATAAAATTACCACAAACTCTGTTGTGATGGGTTCATGAAAGGTTTTATCTTTCTTCTCACGTGTTTGTATGAACCGCTCGATTGGCCCTGGCTTCCGTTTATGCTTCCTTTCCTAATTGGATATATAAAAAGCACATTCAACAGATAACATACATTAAATTTAAAAAATAATGAATAAAGTTGAAATAAAATAATTTATAAACTTACAAACTTATCGAATGAAATTGCAAAACTTTTAGATCCATTAGTGTGAGAATGTGTTAGTTTTTCTCTAGCATTCTTCCCATGTTGAGACTTTTCTACATATAAAGATAAGAATATTAACACCTTTCTAATTTACACACATATCAGTGTATCATTAATCATTATAACAAGCTTCATATAACCATTGATACTTTGTAAAGTTCAACGCTAACCTCAAAATCTGGTGAAAAAGACAATGTCACAAATCCATCCCACATGGCGTCATCCACGTCTTTCGGACGTACAAGACCCTCATTGCCACCTGACTTGGAAATGGGCAAATTATNACTTCTTCATCGTCATTAAACCCTTCAGGTACAGGTATAAGAGATGGATCCAAATCAAAGTCGACATCAGAGTCATCATCATCTCCATAATCATGATTGTAGTGATTATCCTCTTCACTATAAGTTTCATCTATATCATGCACAGTAAAGTCGTTTGGAGCTCCGCCTTCGTTTTCAAGCAAGTGCTGATACTCTTCAAAGGTACGCTTTGAACGAAACATTACTTCCTCAAATTAGATCTGTGAGGCATAAACTGTTAGCTTCAAGGCATATCATGTAATATACATTCTACATGCCCTAAGTAATCAGTTCTGGCACTGCACTTAGGCTAGGAAATCCGGCAAACATAACCTACATCACCCAAGTAAGAACAGCCCCAACAAGCCGCAAGAACCAAAGTAACTAAGTGAGCCAAAGTGAGCCATCAAGTTGCCCAAACATTCCTCCCAAACCCCAACCGAAAGGGTCAAGCGGACCACGAACAAGGGCTGTCAACAATAGAAAGAACTACCACCATGCAGGTTAAACAGCCCCAACAGTAAGGGGTAGCTCACTTGTTACGACATTAATGGGATGACAATTTCAAAAAGATTCGTTGGAAGCGATATACATTGCATTATAGCTTAGGGTTGAGCTTAGATAGTGAGTTTTAGTATACTCAATTTAGAATATTGCCAATTCATTTGTAATATCCAAAAAAATATACATTAACCGAACCAAAGTCCCTACCAACGAGAAGTCATAGGCAAAAGGTTTGAAAAAACACAAAAGGAATTAATCCCAAATGATGAAACTAGAAGTCATTCTGGCCATTACTTTTTTTTATCATTACCCGTCAGTCCCTTCGTTTTGCGATTGTGAAGTACATGGAGAAATTTTGTCAAACAGGGACTTTTAGGAAGTGCTTGGAGATATTTGGGAAGTGCATGGAGAAATTGGTCAAACACGGACTTTTAGGATATCAAACAAACACAGACCTATGGAATTTGGGATCTTAACAAAATCTAAGTCCGTGATGTGCCCCTGTCCCCTGTCCCATAACAAAAACTGTGCATTATAGTTGTTTCGGGATGTACTAGCTGGATCCTCAGAATTCATGGAACCATCTTTTATCTAAAAGGGAAGCCCCTAACATTTCATTTATCTAAAAGGTGAAGCACCAACATTTCATTAGTCTAAGAGAGGAAGCACAACCGGCCTTCTTATAAATTTCAAATACATTATGTAAACATTCCCCCGTAAGTTGTATCAACTAGATAATGTATACTTGCAAGCCACACCATAAAAGCTTAGAACAGAGCAAACAAATGCCTCTATTCCATATATGAATTAACTATCCTCATTCCAGAAAACACAGCAAAGAATTAGAGATCAAAAAACAATGCCTATACATTTTATTGAGTATTTACATCAATTAGGAGTAAATATCTTGCAATTCAATAAGGCTGTACAGATTTTTAGGGTCTAAATTTTAAAAATTAGCGCAATAGATTTTTAGACAATCTAATTTCAAACAATCTAATTTCAAGACAGTCTAATTGCAGGCCAAACGAATTGAATGCTAAGATGATACGCAAGATAGATTAGGTTTACATACTTGGCCGGTGGATTGTGAAATTGATGCTGAAGGACTGATGCAGACTGATGTAGGCCGGAGGAGATGTGCGCCAAAGAGATGAATGCTATGCGTGCGCCAGAGATAGAACGCGATGGTGCGCCACAGAGATGAGCGATTCCAGGGCTAGAGATCAGATCGAGCACGCAGACAACGAGTGAGAATGGATCGATAGATTAGGTTTACAGATTTTGGTTTGAGGAGATGAATTATTAGGCGGAATAATGGAGCGGAGAATGAAAACTTAAGCGCGGGATTAGATTTAGTGAATTAGAATAAGCGGGCTTAGATTTTTTAAGGTGGTTAGGGATTAATTTTAGAATTTCAATTACTAAAGTGTAATTAATTTAATAAATTAAATACATTTTCTTAAATTAAGTATATATAATTGATTTGGCACACTTAATTATGTGGGTACATGAAATTATTTATAACAACTCTTTTAAGTGTGGAGAAATATTTAAGTGTTAAATTTTATTGCCACACTTAGTCAAGTGTGGCAAATTAAATGCGGCGAAACTCATAATTTCTTGTAGTGTCACTTAGTATAATTCTGAACGGTCTATAGTCGAAGCATTAACGAGAGCAGGATATCGTTAATGCGTGTGAGACTAGTGAGAGTTAGATGTTTGACCTAGTCTCTTGGTCAAATGACGGAGTGTTCGCATCTACTCTCGGGCAGATATTATCGTTAATAATAGGATGCCAGACCTGACCCACCTAAAGGGCATTGCCTAGACTTTTAGTCTATGCTCTAAGTGTCCTTAATGCGACTATTGGTATAACGATCCTCAGACTTGAAGTATTACGTTCTTCGAATGTGTGAACCCGCATGCTTTGATTCATTGTCCTAAGCCGTATGAAATAAGGATGGTACACAGGCTTTGTATTGGGCATGCCGCTGCACGTATTCGAAGACGTAGATTACGTACAAAGAATTTGTCACTGCTACTCAAGCAGAATAATGTCTTGTAGGGGCCCACTGATAAGTATGACTGAAGAAATGCATGGCCATGGTGAGATGAGTTTAGACATCTGTTCTCATCAGTCAGACTTGTTAATCAGTAAATAACTTAATGGCTACAAGTTGGATATTTTATATCCCTTGCACTAAGTTAAGACATTGGGACAAAAGGATCTACGTTATACAAAGTCTTGGTTGTAGAAAGGTTTTGACGGAGCAAACGTCTGAACTTATAATCTGGGGGTAATAATGTGTTGCTAGATACCGCTTATTACTTATAGTATTGGTGTAGAGTCAATACTGTGGCCAGTTTTATACTCCCTCCGTCCGCCTAAGATATTCTCATTTTGACTTTTGGTGGTTTTTAAGGAGAGTTGAAAAAAGGTGAAAGTTTACCATAATACCCTTAATGAAAAATGGGTGGAGTGTATTAAATGAGGTGGGTGAGGTGTAATAAATAAAGTAAGTGGGGGTACTTGTGGTATTTTACTTGTTAAAAAATGAAATGAGAAGATCTATTATGGACAAAGAAAAAGGGCTATTGGGAAGATCTATGATGGACAGAGGGAGTAATTGTCTATATGGGTCACACACTTTGGACAATTTAAATAGTAGGATTATAAGAAGGGATAATATATAATTTGTATATTGTAAAATAGTAAAGTAAAATGTTTAATATAATATATATATATATACGTATATACTTTGTACACGGCACACACATATATATAAGTATATACATATATAATGTGCGTGGGTACATATATATGTAATATAATTATAACGTGTACATATATGTGTTAGACAATAATATTAAGTATTCCTAGTTATGGTAGAAGTTGTATTTTAGTTAGTTTCCATTCTCTATTCCTAGTTGTGTTAGGAGTCTCTTCTATATATACTCTATCATGTACTTCATAATTCAAGGGGCAATATTATTATTCTAATATTTCAACATGGTATCGGAGCCACCGCTCTTGGTGACCAAAAAAAAAGTTCTTTGCTCCCACCTCCGCCGCCGGTAATTTCGGCGACGGCAACTCCCTTCTATTCACCTCTATTTTTTTCCATCTTTTATCCTCAAATCAACTTCTCCATTCAAATGAAAAAAAAAGAAGAAAAAAAACTCCTGTTGAAATCACACAAAAAAACCATCAAAGGAGAAACTTCTCTCTTGTCATCTCCAATTGTTCTTCAAAAAAACCCAACTCTTCACAAACTCTCTCAACTCATCATATCTTCTCAAAAAAAGAAAAAAAAAGATTGTTGTTTCTCTCCAATTCACCATATCAAAATTTCAGACCCAAATCTCTCTTCCATCACCAATTCTTAACTCACTTTTCTCTCTCTCAAATCACTCATTCTAATCATCAACCTCCCTTCTCTTTCTCTTTTGTTGAACCAATAAAAATCCAAAAAAAAAAACAACACAAAAGCAAAGCGAAAAGGGAAAGTAGTGAAAGAGGAAAGAATACCTCTACACCCCTTCAAGAAAGAAATAGGAACATGCACCTCAAGTAGCCTTCTCTATTCTTCTTCGACGTCAGCAGCTACACGCGCACGTCAACCTTCTCTCTTCTTCTTCAACGTCAGCAGCTACCAGCGCACGTCAATTTCTCTCTTCTTCAACGATGTCTGTAGCTACCAGTGCATGTCAGACTTCTCTCCTCTCCAACGACGTCAGCAGCCATCAGCGCACGTCAGACTTCTCTCTTCTCCAACGACGTCAGCAGCCACCGGCGCACGTCAGATTTCTCTCTCCTCAAAGTTTCCAGTTTCCGGCTAGTGTCCAAGCTTCCTCTTGCTTCAGCCAGAGTTCAGCTTGAGGGGGGATGTTAGACAATAATATTAAGTATTCCTAGTTATGGTAGAAGTTGTATTTTAGTTAGTTTCCATTCTCTATTCCTAGTTGTGTTAGGAGTCTCTTCTATATATACTCTATCATGTACTTCATAATTCAAGGGGCAATATTATTATTCTAATATTTCAACAATATGTGTATATATATTACATTATATATTATATTGTGTACATTTTATTTTGGAGTGTCATTTTAATAATGGAAATAATTATTTTGACAAAAACTATTTTAAAGTATATTTTATATACTTTTTTTAAAATGTTTTGGGTATTTTATTTTATATCATAAAAATTATTGATGTTAAATAAAATACACTTTAAACATTTGAGAGGAGAAAGAATTTTAAATTCTCCCCCCTTAGTTTCGTAAATGGATGTATGGAATTATGTGTGGAGACTTGTGTCTCCCACTACATTTCATAATGTGTGTCCTTTTGGCCTTTTGCAAATGTATATGTTTTTGCATTATTCATTTCGATTTATAAAATGCTATCTTCTCTCCCTTTTATAGGAGGAACTTCGGCCAAGAAAAGGAGAAGAGAGAGAGAATTCTTTTGGGTTCCAAAATAATTTTGGGTGTAGAAAATTGTTATAATATTTTCTTTAAAATATTACCGATATATTTTCTACTTTTAGTATACAAGATTTATATTATCCCTAAAATAATCTTTTTTATTAAATATACTATTATAATCTTTACTAGCATAAAGATTATAGTAGACTCCGGAGATTGTTCGTGTGTCAAAGTTGGAGGTCGGACGCTTGAACGGCTACGTTTGCTCCTTCAACATCTTTTACCGGAGAAGGTATAAGTTTCTATCTCTAGCTATAGTTTTAGTACGTGTTCTTGGGCTAGTAATCACTATTGGGAGATTAAATTTTGTATTTCCGTTGCCCTCCCTACCGTGGTTACCTTTCAGTGGTATCAGAGCCAACGTACAAAACTATAGTTTTTGTAGAACTTTTTCGGATGAAAATTGTTTTTTAACTTGGTAATTATTTGTTAATTTCGAAAATTAGTAAAACGATTTATTTTAGTCTTGGAATAAATATTGGACTTAAATAAATCATTAAAATAAATATTCATTGTTTATTTGTACCGATAATATTTTTTTTTAAATATATTCGGGAATTTCGAGAATATATATTTATATATATATCGAAATTGTGAATATAATTTTATTGGACATAAAATGTCATTTTATGGTTAATAAAATTATATTGTAATTTTCGAAATTGTTTATTTCCAATTTTTGAGTTAATTGTATTTGTTTAGATTTAATTCCAATAAATCTTAAATAAATATTGGAAACTCAAAAATGAACTTTATAAAACTTGGAAATATTATTTCTAGGTGAAATAAAGTTGTTCATAAATATATTGGACAAAATAATATTAGTTAGTAATTAATTATATATATATATTTCGGTATATATATATTACCTAGTAATATATATAAATATATATATATATATTAATTGAAAATGGCTAATATCATTTTGGAAAATTATATCTCATTAAAAAGGTAATTTGATTTTTCTAAATATTAAATTTTATAATTTAATGATTTTTAAAAAAATGATTTAAAATTATTTTTGCAATCATTGAGATATAATTAATATATTTGGGAAATAAATATTTATAAATTCTGGAAATTTATTTTTCCGATTTATAAATGAATAAAATAGTTACTGGAAGTTGGAAACTAATTTTAATGATTTTTGCAATTTTATTTCAAATTTAAAATGAATTTTGGAATAAACATTGCACTAGGGGCATTTTCGTAATTCTGTGTTTCCTGGAAATTTATTTTCCAGTTTTGCCCCTGCCCGAAAGTCTCCTAATGTATTTAGGATGACTTGGTAAAATTTCATAATTTTTGGACCACTTTATGAATTTTTATGAATTTTAGAAAATATTACCAACGTAGTATTTTTCTAGAAATGTCTAAGGCGAGCGCGGTTCGCCCGGTGTATGTATATCTCTATTGCCTGTGTGGATGTATGATATGCATGGTGGATGATTGTGGCTATAGTTTATTTGATTATAATACGGCCTGCGTGTCGTGCCTTATCTTTTAAACTCTTGTTGTAAATCTATTTCTCTCTCTTACCTCAACCGAGGATTCTTTTCTCACGTGGTGGTTAAAAGATAAAAGATTCGAAGTCCGTTCGAGGGAATCTAAAGGAATGGAGATAGCCCGAAGTCCAAATGCCTGGAAGTCAGTCGGAGCTATCGTTTTATTTTCTTTTAGGGGCCACAATCATTACACGTTTATTTACTGCGTATTTTGAATGCATGTGAATGTATGTTTTACGCTAGTAAATTGACACGTGCGCGGCATGTGTCATAGGTGAGATCGTAATTAATATAAAATCCCTCGAAATATTAAGTCTGTATTGCCTTCCAGCGCCCGGCACCTTTCCGGCTAATGTGCACTGTCACGTACTCAGCCCTAGCAGAGCGTAGTACGGTGTATGTTATGCTGGTCACGAGAATCACTTAAGTGGTCATTGTCAGACGTTGGGTTAGACTTAACTGAGTCTCGGTCAAATGGATGGATGACTCAGAGGCGAGTTTCGTTGGGGTCACTCTACTGACAAGTCGAATTACTTTACTCACTCATCCAGCCAGAAGTTGGGTCTCTATGACTTAATTGGGCTTAGCCTTAACTAAAGTAGTTGTGCATGTGGTACGTGCCAAAGCCAATCACATGTATAATGAAACGGTGTTCTGGTCCGTAAGTAGTATTGTCGTTCGCCCAACACAAGACCAAGAACTGTGAGCGCGGCTCGACAGTTGGAACTATGTTCCTACCTAAATAGTTAAATTCTAGGTACGAACCTCAGGTCAACTAGAATTTAATGATATATGGATCTTGGCCCATTAAGAGAATCTCTAGGAGAATCTCCGAATCAACATTGAGGGTTGTTGGTTTGTTAAAATAGTGAGAAATAATTAATTAAAGGCCTAATTAATTATTCAACATGATAGTTACCTAGTTTGCAATTTCATTCTGTAGATGGCATCAAATAACACATACAGTCATTCCATCAACCTGCGGTATATCCTTGAGAGCCAAAAACTCTCTGGGGAAAACTTTCTTGACTGGGAGAAGAACCTAAGAATCGTTCTTGACTATGAGAGGAAACTTTACATCCTCGAAACGGAACCTCCCAAGACCCCTAAGGCAAATGCTCGTGCGTCCGAACTCACTTCCTTCAAGAAGTATGAAGACGACGCGCGAGATGTTAAGTGTATCATTATGACAAGTATGACCGCGGAGCTCCAAAGGCTCCACGCGGACATGGTAGCGCGTCCTATGATACACCGCTTAAGAGACCTATTACAGGGTCACCCCAAAAACTCGGGTATTTACGTTATTGAAGTCAACATGTCTGATTTCACCTCTTGGGTGATGGATACCGGATGTGGTTCTCACATCTGTACTTCTATGCAGAATTTGCATGAAGTTAGACATTTGACTGAGGGAGAAGTCCAGCTGAAGGTCGGAAACAGAGCACTTGTCAATGCGCTGGCTGTAGGAACTTATGTTCTATCTCTCCCCAGTGGCTTGTTGTTGCATTTAAACAATTGCTTGTGTGTACCTGCCATTAGCAGGAATATCATTTCTATGTCCTGTCTTGACAAAGCAGGATTTTCTATTAACGTCAAAGACAAGTGCCTTTCGGTTTTCAGAAATGATATTTACTATGAAACTGCTAAGATGACCAATGGTCTTTATATCTTAGACTTAGACGCCACTGTTTATAACGTAGATGTTAAGAGAAGCAAACCAAACAGTTTGAATCTCACATACCTTTGGCATTGTCATTTGGGCCACATTAACGAGAAACGCACATCTAAGTTACGTCACTCTGGCGTACTTGATTCATTTGACCTCGAGTCTTATGATGTATGCCAATCTTGTTTACTCGGTAAAATGACAAAGGTTCCATTCACCGGTCACGGTGAAAGGGCGAGTGATGTATTAGGCCTCATACACTCTGATGTATGTGGCCCAATCAACACTGAAGCTAGAGGTGGTTTCTCATACTTCGTAACATTTACTGATGACCTCAGTCGGTATGGATATGTGTATCTCATGAAACACAAATCGGAATGCTTTGACAAGTTCAAAGAATTCAGAAACGAAGTAGAGAAACAATTAGGCAAAAGTATCAAGACCCTCCGCTCGGATCGAGGAGGTGAGTACTTAAGCCTGGAGTTCGACGACTATCTAAAAGAGCACGGGATCCTATCCCAGCTGACTCCTCCCGGTACACCCCAATTAAATGGAGTGTCTGAAAGGAGAAACCGAACGCTGCTCGATATGGTTCGGAGTATGATGAGTCTGACAACATTACTAGAGTCCTTTTGGGGAAAAGCACTATTAACTACCGCGCACACACTCAATCGCGTACCATCTAAGGCTGTTGAGAGCACACCATACGAGCTATGGCGTGGGACAAAACCAAATTTGTCGTACTTGAGGATTTGGGGTTGTGATGTTTACGTTAGACGCCTCATGACGTCTGGTAAGCTGGATTCCAAATCTGACAGGTGTAAATTTGTGGGATACCCTAAGGAAACGAAAGGGTATGAGTTCTATCATCCGACCGATAACAAAATATTTGTTGCTCGGAGCGGAACCTTCCTTGAGAAGGAGTTTCTCTCTGCTATTTCTAGTGGGAGAAAGGTAGACCTCGAAGAAATTCGAGAACCACAAGAAGAGATCTCAATAGCAGTGGAACCCGAGCGTCAAGATTTAGTATCTCGACCGGCTCAGGTTTTACCACGTAGGTCAGTGGATGCGTAATCCTCCGGTTAGATACGGTTTCCTTGTATCTGATGAAGGTGACGTCTTGCTGGTAGACCAAGGCGAACCTGAGACCTACCTCGAGGAAATCACGTGCCCCGAATCCGAACAATGGCTTAATGCCATGAAATCCGAAATGGAGTCTATGTACACAAACAAAGTTTGGACCTTGGTTGATGCGCCCGAAGGGATAAAACCCATAGGGTGCAAGTGGATTTTCAAAAGAAAACAGACGTAGACGGGAAGGTTCATACCTTCAAAGCTAGATTGGTAGCAAAAGGTTATAGACAAATCCATGGAATTGACTATGATGAAACCTTTTCTCCAGTTGTGATGCTGAAGTCCATTCGGATAATGCTTGCGATTGCAGCATTCTACGATTACGAGATTTGGCAGATGGACGTCAAGACGGCTTTCCTTAACAGGAACCTCAAAGAGGATGTCTATATGACACAGCCTGACGGTTTTACAATTGCTGGTGAATCTGCCAAAGTTTGTAAGCTGCAACGGTCAATCTACGGATTGAAACAAGCATCTCGGAGTTGGTATATACGTTTTGATGAAACCATCACTAGTTTTGGTTTCGAGAAGAATTCTGACGAGTCTTGTGTTTACAAGAAGGTCAGTGGGAGTGTGATAGTATTCCTAATCCTATATGTCGATGACATATTGTTAATGGGTAACGATGTTCCGGCTCTTACGTCTGTAAAGACTTGGTTGAGTGAGAACTTCGCCATGAAGGATTTGGGGAATGCTGGTTATGCCCTTGGCATAAGAATCTACCGTGATAGGTCAAGAAAGTTGATAGGTCTATGTCAAAGTGCATATATAGATAAGGTCCTTAATCGATTTAGCATGTCTAACTCGAAATGGGGATCCTTACCTTTGATACCTGGCATGGCTCTTTCCAAGAGCCAGAGTCCTTCTACTCCCGAGCAGAAGGAACTCATGATGAAGGTCCCATATGCTTCTGCAATTGGTTCCATCATGTATGCCATGATATGTACTAGACCTGATGTCTCATTCGCTTTAAGCGTGACCAGCAGATACCAGGGGAATCCAGGTGAAGCACACTGGACAGTGGTCAAAAACATCCTAAAGTATCTTCGGAATACTAAGGATGCATTCCTGGTATATGGAGGTGAGGAAGAGCTGAAAGTGATCGGTTACACTGATGAGAGCTTCCAAACCGATCGAGACGATTACAAGTCACAAGCAGGGTATGTGTTTTGCCTGAATGGAGGAGCTTTTAGCTGGAAGAGTTCTAAACAGGACACAACCGCCGATTCAACTACAGAGGCTGAGTACATGGCTGCTGCTGAAGCAGCAAAGGAAGGTGTTTGGATAAAGAACTTATTTCTGAACTTGGAGTGGTTCCTAGCATTAATGACCCAATCCCGTTGTTCTGCGACAACACTGGGGCCATTGCACAGGCAAAGGAACCACGATCTCACCAAAAGACCAAGCACATTGTACGATGTTATCACATTGTACGAGAAATCGTAGACAGAGGTGATGTAGAGATTTGCAAAGTAGGAACAGACGACAACATTGCCGACCCCCTGACCAAGCCCTTGGGAAAGCTAAAGCATGAGGGTCACACTAGGTCAATGGGCATTCCACCGATGCCAGATTGGCCGTAGTGCAAGTGGGAGATTGTTGGAGTTGGTGCCCTTATGGCCAACTACTGTTGTAATATCTTAGATATTTTCTATCATGTAAAGGCAGATGCATTAAGTTTACAAACATCTCATGCTAATGTAAACTCTTAATTGCATTCCTAGAATTATATTATAAGATGTTTATCAGAATGAGTATTCTGATGTTGAGACTGACATCTTGTCACTTAGTATAATTCTGAACGGTCTATAGTCGAAGCATTAACGAGAGCAGGATATCGTTAATGCGTGTGAGACTAGTGAGAGTTAGATGTTTGACCTAGTCTCTTGGTCAAATGACGGAGTGTTCGCATCTACTCTCGGGCAGATATTATCGTTAATAATAGGATGCCAGACCTGACCCACCTTAAGGGCATTGCCTAGACTTTTTGTCTATGCTCTAAGTGTCCTTAATGCGACTATTGGTATAACGATCCTCATACTTCAAGTATTACGTTCTTCGAATGTGTGAACCCGCATGCTTTGATTCATTGTCCTAAGCCGTATGAAATAAGGATGGTACACAGGCTTTGTATTGGGCATGCCGCTGCACGTATTTGAAGACGTAGATTACGTACAAAGAATTTGTCACTGCTACTCAAGCAGAATAATGTCTTGTAGGGGCCCACTGATAAGTATGACTGAAGAAATGCATGGCCATGGTGAGATGAGTTTAGACATCTGTTCTCATCAGTCAGACTTGTTAATCAGTAAATAACTTAATGGCTACAAGTTGGATATTTTATATCCCTTGCACTATGTTAAGACATTGGGACAAAAGGATCTACGTTATACAAAGTCTTAGTCGTAGAAAGGTTTTGACGGAGCAAACGTCTGAACTTATAATCTGGGGGTAATAATGTGTTGCTAGATACCGCTTATTACTTATAGTATTGGTGTAGAGTCAATACTGTGGCCAGTTTTATAAGTGCCTATATGGGTCACACACTTTGGACAATTTAAATAGTAAGATTATAAGAAGGGATAATATATAATTTGTATATTGTAAAATTGTAAAGTAAAATGTTTAATATAATATATATATATACGTATATACTTTGTACACGGCACACACATATATATAAGTATATACATATATAATGTGCGTGGGTACATATATATGTAATATACTTATAACGTGTACATATATGTATATATATATATTACATTATATATTATATTGTGTACATTTTATTTTGGAGTGTCATTTTAATAATGAAAATAATTATTTTGACAAAAACTATTTTAAAGTATATTTTATATACTTGTTTTAAAATGTTTTGGGTATTTTATTTTATATCATAAAAATTATTGATGTTAAATAAAATATACTTTAAACATTTGAGAGGAGAAAGAATTTTAAATTCTCCCCCCTTAGTTTCGTAAATGGATGTATGGAATTATGTGTGGGGACTTGTGTCTCCCACTACATTTCATAATGTGTGTCCTTTTGGCCTTTTGCAAATGTATATGTTTTTGCATTATTCATTTTGATTTATAAAATGCTATCTTCTCTCCCTTTTATAGGAGGAACTTCGGCCAAGAAAGGGAGAAGAGAGAGAGAATTCTTTTGGGTTCCAAAATAATTTTGGGTGTAGAAAATTGTTATAATATTTTCTTTAAAATATTACCGATATATTTTCTACTTTTAATATACAAGATTTATATTATCCCTAAAATAATCTTTATATTAAATATACTATTATAATCTTTACTAGCATAAAGATTATAGTAGACTCCGGAGATTGTTCGTGTGTCAAAGTTGGAGGCCGGACGCTTGAACGGCTACATTTGCTCCTTCAACATCTTTTGCTCGACTTCTCGTTCATACCGCTTTACCGGAGAAGGTATAAGTTTCTATCTCTAGATATAGTTTTAGTACGTGTTCTTGGTCTAGTAATCACTATTGGGAGATTAAATTTTGTATTTCCGTTGCCCTCCCTACCGTGGTTACCTTTCACTTCCGTTAAGCTTACGGGTGCTTAACAAACCGTTACAACCTGAGAACTTGAGTCCCACGAGCCTCAATACACTTGCTCGGAGATACCGCACTCCAAGACTTCAACCCGAAGGAATATGCCCTTCCTTCGTACTGTTACAATTTTTGTACGGATTACAACGGACGGGGAAGACGAACGGACCCAGAAAATAAAATTAAATAAAATTCTGAATTCATAACTTATTCAGAATATTACAAGATAAACAGAATTGAAAATAAATTCCAATATCTTCAAACAGCCTTGTTGTGCGATGACATTATGTACTGGACAGTGAGGACATTACGCACTAGAAAGCAAGGACATTATGTCCTAGGGCAGAATGCAGCAAGGTCTTTATGAACTAAACCTGCAAAATAAAACACTGTGAAGGATAGCGGAGTCGCCGGAGCTGTCCTTAAGGTAGTAGTGCCCGCCTACCGTACTGGAAAAACGTGGGCACTCTCCTCCCAAGATAAAACCGCTATCGTGTGTGGAGATTGTACGGACCAACCACACACCAACGAACAAGAACAACGTAGGAACGTTGACGACCAAAAAAATTTGAAGGGAATTGCCGGAAAGTTGGCCGGAAAATCAAGAGCTCTCTCTAAAAAAACAAGGAAGTACTTTTCTTTTCTTTTTCCTTTCTCACGTATGAAACAACCACCACTTAAGAGAATGGAGAGAGCCTTTGATTTTATAACCAAGCCATTTTAAAAAATGTAACTCCTACACATTAACCCATGGCATTTGTGGCACACTTAATACCGTGTTAATGGTGATTAATTAGCCATTAACACGTCCGTTACGCTACGCTCCGTTTAAAATTTGTCCCGAATAATTGGAGATTAATGGCCAGTTAACTCCATAAGAAAGGACTAATTTTAAACAATACGTAAAATTAATAAAAGAAGATTGGTTCAGTAAAATTGCAAAAATTGCAATCATCACCATATTCTTTTATTAACGGGTTAACTCTGAGAATCAATTTCTCATTCACCCTCTACCATTTTTGGCGTATAAATTGTCAAAACATTTATCTCATTTAAGAGAACACACGTCCATTAATTAACGGTTAAAACTGTTAGTGGACCTATTGACAAATATACCCAAATTGGTCCAATTAATGCCAATTAAAATGCCAAAAATTCCAACAATCCCCCACATGAATGAAAAATTGATTTGGGGTCGACAACATCCCACAGTTGAAAACCTGCACAGAACATGTAAGTGTCTCCACTTTTGAACATGTCCCTTGTAAAGTATACCTTCTTTACTGGCTGTTCAGTAGAACGCGATGTCTTTGAACGCGATGTCTTTGAACTGTACTGCCGTTTGTGTAAACGATAGTATACAATACACAGGTTCCAACCAAACGTCATTCTGTTCTCATGGTTGTGCCCATTTTGGTCGTGGGACACGCGCCTGGTTCTGCGAGAGTGTTTAGAGGATTAAGCCCAAGATCCTCCGTTGAAGCGACCACACTTCACTCTAACATAGGTGATTCTTTAAGAGTATCCCGATTACTCCCCTTAGACCACCGTGTCTATTTGTTAAGAATCTTTAAAGCATATTTATATGCTAACCTCATCATTTTCGGGAGTCACTGTCTTCAGCAGGAACAGAAGGGACTGACCGGAGGTTCCGGTACCACCTCCATAGTGACCACGCTTTATCCTATAAGTAGGTTGTCCCATTGAACCTGGGTACCAGCCAGGTTGGGTTTTCCTTCATAGGACTTTCCTAGCACAAGGGCTTCAAACCCATTCCTACCACCAACTTCTCATGCAACTCATTTGTTAACCCTTTGGTTAGCGGATCCGCCAGATTATCTTTTGACTTCACATATAGTCAATTGTGATAATCCCAGTTGTGAGAAGTTGTCTAATGGTTTTGTGTCTACGACGAAAATGTCTAGACTTACCATTTTAGATATTACTCTTTGCACGTGTTCTTATGTATTTCTGGATTATCAGACATATACACTAAGAATCGATGCGCACTACCACTGTAGCCAATAAAGATTTCATCAATGGTCTTTGGACCAATCTTTATCTTCTTTGGTGGTGGTGCTAAAACTTTTGCAAGGCACCCCCACACTTTCATGTATTTATAGGAAGGTCTCCTATTATACCACAACTCGTAAGGAGTCTTATCGAGTTTCTTTCGGGGTATTTTATTTACCAAATATTGCTAGATAAAATAGCCTCCTTTAGGACCAATTTTATTCTTGTCCTTGTTTGGCTTAGGCACTTTGGAAGAACCCTCTTTGGGTGGATGCTCCACCACATTCGCTATCCATGCTTCTTTAGCCTGAACTGTTGGCTCGTCCGTGTTCTCCCCCACAACAGGGGGATCCTCCCTCAAATACCTCGCAAGGTTGAGGGTGGTCAGCCAAAATAACATCCTTTGCTGCCATATTTTTAAAGCCAACACCTGTGAACTTTGCCGGTTCTTTGACAGAGTTCGCAGGTAGCATGACAGTAGGATGTCCGACCGGTGCGGATGTGAAGACACCCGTGTTCGGTCCAAGTGAGGGAATGACCGGTATGGCCGAAGCCATATTTGGTCCGAGTGGGGTGACCATTGCGGCCGTAGCCGCGGTTGGTCCAATAACCGAGGTGACTGGAGCGGACCCCATAGTCGCGCTCGATCCAACGAATGTGGTGATCAGAGTGGTCTGCCCTACAGAGCCACCCAATCCAGCCGAAACGTTCACAACCAGAGTCTCGGAACTACTCCCGTTTCCGGTGTGAGTGTCAAAACCGAATCCGTCCATACCCGCCATCGTGCACGGATATGACTACTACCTTAAGATTGTTACAATTTTTGTACGGATTACAACGGACGGGGAAGACGAACGGACCCGGAAAATAAAATTAAATAAAATTCTGAATTTATAACTTATTCAGAATATTACAAGATAAACAGAATTGAAAATAAATTCCAATATCTTCAAACAGCCTTGTTGTGCGATGACATTATGTACTGGACAGCGAGGACATTACGCACTAGACAGCAAGGACATTATGTCCTAGGGCAGAATGCAGCAAGGTCTTTATGAACTAAACCTTCAAAATAAAACACCGTGAAGGACAGCGGAGTCGCCGGAGCTGTCCTTAAGGTAGTAGTGCCCGCCTACCGTACTGGAAAAACGTGGGCACTCTCCTCCCAGGATAAAACCGCTATCGTGTGTGGAGATTGTACGGACCAACCACACACCAACGAACAAGAACAACGTAGGAACGTTGACGACCAAAAAAACTTTGAAGGGAATTGCCGGAAAGTTGGCCGGAAAATCAAGAGCTCTCTCTAAAAAAACAAGGAAGTACTTTTCCTTTCTTTTTCCTTTCTCACGTATGAAACAACCACCACTTAAGAGATTGGAGAGAGCCTTTGATTTTATAACCAAGCCATTTTAAAAAATGTAACTCCTACACATTAACCCATGGCATTTGTGGTACACTTAATACCGTGTTAATGGTGATTAATTAGCCATTAACACGTCCGTTACGCTACGCTCCGTTTAAAATTTGTCCCGAATAATTGGAGATTAATGGCCCGTTAACTCCGTAAGAAAGGACTAATTTTAAACAATACGTAAAATTAATAAAAGAAGATTGGTTCAGTAAAATTGCAAAAATTGCAATCCTCACCATATTCTTTTATTAACGGGTTAACTCTGAGAATCAATTTCTCATTCACCCTCTACCATTTTTGGCGTATAAATTGTCAAAACATTTATCTCATTTAAGAGAACACACGTCCATTAATTAACGGTTAAAACCGTTAGTGGACCTATTGACAAATATACCCAAATTGGTCCATTTAATGCCAATTAAAATGCCAAAAATTCCAACACGTACAACCAAGGGAACAAACCTCCCTTAAAGTGTTCACAACACTTAATCACTCAAGAACAAAAACTCTCTTCAAAGAGTAGAATATGAGTAAACTAATTTAGATCCAGAACACACTCAATTTTCAAGAAATGGCTCTAAAAAGCTATGTAAAAAGTTTATGGAATGATGCAATGTAAAGCTATGAAATGTGTGAGGAATGGATGTGAAAAGTAGACCCAAGAGACCCCTTTGTATACCCAAAAACAAGGTGCAACGGTTGGGAGAATATTGGGGTTGATTGGTATGATTTGTGGAAATCAAATAAAAGTGGATCTGCTGAAATCTAGCCCGACAGCGCTGTTCATATAGTGAACATCGCTGTTCTGGCTTTGACTTTCCTTTAAAAATGGCTAACGGTCACCAAAACATTGATGTCTAAAAGTCTACATCGATGTTGGGGTGTTTGACTTTCAAAAATGGAAAGATTTTGTCTTAAATAGCCCAACGGTCGTTTGAAAACATTGCTGTTCAACAATGAACATCGCTGTTCAAAAACTTACTTCCCAGGGCTTCTGAATGCCAACATTGCTGTTGGGATTTCCGACATGCATGTTGGGATGGTTTGCCAGAACCATGGTTTGGCAGCAGACGCCGAAAACCGATGTCAAAAACCAAAGTTCTCCAAAATAAAAACCAAGTGTTGGAAACTCTTATATAATGTATTTTAGGTAGAAACCAAGTATAAAAACTTAAAAACCACTTCATTAAGGTAAAAACCACGGCTAGCCAAGTTGATGCCGTTTCACATGGTTTTCACCAAAAGACAAAAAACGGAAGGTGGTTTTTAACATGTTTTTGTTCGAGAACCATTTGGATATGTCCAGGAGTAAAACCCAATCATAAAATATTAAAAACCCTCAATTGATTTGGACGCCAAAAACCAACGCCGATAACCAACACCAAATGCTGATAACCAACGCCGAAAAACAAAGGTTATAGTTTTTGAAAACTAATCATTTGGAAAAACTTTAAATGTGTCCAGAAGCATAATCCAAAGATAAAAACCCAAAAACCATTTGGTTAAAATCAATGCCAATAACCAATGCCGAAAACCGAACGCCGTTAACTGATGGTTATGGTTTTGGTTAAGAAAGAACCATGGGTTTTAGAAACTGAAAAACCATTTATGAAAACATTAATTTGATGCATGAAAAAACATATTTTGTTTTGAGCCATGACGTAGAGAAATTGAATGAGCTTGTTACAATAAAAACTAAGTCTTTAGAATACGTCTTCAAAGCGCCAATGTCGCCATCTTTAGCAACGTCAATGCCATTCTTGTGCTTTTTGTTTCTTCAAAGAACTTTTTCTATCTTTTTATTTTGTTCCATGTTCCCGACGGTTTGTCAATATCAAAACCTAAACGGAAACAAACATTGTCATTAGCAAAATGTCAAAGTGAAAATGTTTTCCAACAATATATATATATATATATATATATAGAATTTGGTTCAAATAAGAATGAAATCTAATGAAAGAAATAAGAATGAATAATAACCCTTGGATCTTAGATCTCCAGCAATTCTCCTTCCCACTTATCGCAAGGGCATTTTTGATTTTTCATCCCAATTTCGTTCTTGCCTTATCAACTGCTCTTCTTCTCACCGAAATCAGCGCACCATCTTCTCTCATTTCGTTCAGAGTTTTCCTTATTTACACATGCCACCAGCAGTTTCTCTATCTAAGAGTTGAGTCTGGCAGTGTTCTTGTAACACTATTCATACTCGTCCTTCACCTTGCAATTCCTTCTTGATTTGTATCTCGATTCTCGATATTTTTGAAGCCCTGGAACCGACTTCAACATAGGCTTCCTCTTTGGAGTTCAATTCGATGCTCTTGGGGCCGGACTGGGCATGAATCGAAGGTTAACCTCTCGTAGTTACTGTTCATCTTCGACTTTGAAGGTTTGAATCAATCTCAATTCAAGCTCAATTAAAGTCTAATTTGTAGGGGATTATGAGTGATTTGTGTTACTCTTTTAAGGTTTGAGGATGGAAGTCATTTTCATTTGAACTTAGTTTTTTCCATCTTAATTTCATTCTTACCTTATCGGCTGCTCTTCTTCTGCACCAAATCAGTACACGATCTTCTTCAATGTTTGGATTCTGCGGCCATCATCATCCCTCAAATAACAAGCATCCATTATCGCAAGATCTATTCCAAAATTCATCTTCATTATCCATCACTGTCAAAGAATATATCTGGTGGTTTTTCCAAATCAGGTATGATTCATTTAGTTTTTGATTCATAAATTAAATTACATTTTGATATGTTTATCAATTTGATTCTTTGTATTCTTGTTTCATTTTTAGGTTTTGATTGGTTGTTCAATTTGTGAGCAATTGGTTTATGATGTTCAGCTTTAATTTGTATTCTACTATTTTGGAGCATTTTTGTACATATGGGATTTTTTCAGTTGTATTTTGTTATACATCCTATATCAATGCTATATTTGTTAGATATTTTTTTAAAATTGGTCATTCTTTTTTGCTTTGTAATGTTCTGGGGTGTCTTGCATTTTGAAGTGCATGTTTTGCATTTTGATTAACATCTATCTTTAATATTGCATATGTAAATGGTGAATTAGGTTATTTTTATTATGCACAGATTTAATAGAACGTAAGCACTTTGTTATGATTTTTGCACATTTCAGGATCGTTCATTTTACCCATCATTTGTTTCATATATGACGCTATGTGCTCCTATAAACCATGTTGTATTGAATATTCCCTATCTTGCATACTTGGTTGATAGTGACTATCTCATTTTCTTACTAATAAAGTGAGATATAATAATATGATATGTATATTGTTGGATAGTAATGCATCCTGAAATGTTAATAGTACATCGTATTCATATCCATGGATAAAGATTTATATTAGTCACGACCTTAAACCATAGTTAGTGGTAACAACCATAGTAAGTGGTAACAGATGGATATGTTTCACTTTGGGAATTTGTTTATTACTATGTTGCCTTATACAATTTGAGTAAAGAGAAATGTAGATACAAACAAGTGGTTTGACAGTGTGAATTGATGATGCACCAAATACCATCAAGATGCACCAAATAGAACCCTTGCTGGTTAGTAAGAATGGATGGCTTATGAACGTGTTAATGTAGAATTAGGGTAAGTGGATCTACCTCGTAACCTCGCAAGTTTGGTTTTAGCTAAAAGTTAGCTAGTTTGTAGCTACTGAATTCATCAATTGTGTTATGTAGGTTTGTAGCTGCTAAAAGAGCATAATCTATATGGAGATGCATACTAAACAGATGAAAGTGTTGATTTTATTATTACTGACACATGGAAACCAGTGAAGATGCTCATGAGGAGGAATCTTAAGGTCTACAATAAGTTTGGTTATAGCATATCTTAAACACTTGATTTACCTTACTCAAGTAATGTTGAACAAGGATGTTGGGACCGACGTTCTTGATATTAATCTTAGCAATGCGATGGTTTTTGGCTTATTAGTTTTCCTTGGGGCTTAGTTGCTTTTAAGATGGTGTCTCTTCTTTATTTCATCTTTATCTAGTCTTTTCTTTTTGTTTGCTTTTTCGAGGGGCTTTGGTATGGTCCTCCCCTCTTGTACTTCTCTTTTTCTTGTAATAAAATGTATTTTTATTTAAAAAGAAAAATAAAAAATGAAATGGGGTAAGTGAGAAGAGGAAGAGATTGATTTATATAGGTCTAAAGCAAAATAAGATGTTGAGGTAGTACAAAAAACATAATATGATCTCCTGGAGCATTTCGTTTGTTACGATTATTTGTATGTTCCGGTTAAGATGAGTTCACATTACTAATTAGACTTTAATTCTGATGCCTCTGAGTTTTTTTCTGGTTTCAATGCTTTATTAACACATAATAAATTATGATTCTTGTTACTATTCGCTTCTAAAATGTAATTCTTCAAACACTATATCACATTCATACTCATCATTATTTTTTATCTAAAATGTCAACAATTGGTGTTTCAAATAATGAATAGCATTGGTTCGAACAGTGCACATTGTGCAGTTTATAATGCATAATTGGTAGTTATTAACAAAATGACATCATACAAGTTGTAAAGTAGTTTAAGGTGCAAAATGAAAGATATCTAAGCTACCAAATGAAACATAGAACAAAGCGAAACCTATAATATCATGTCTCCGTTAATATTTTCACCCAATAGGAAAGAAAACACCACCATTCAATCTTTGGTTCTACTTGCATCAATATACCCTATGACCTATGTGCTAAACTAAGTATCTTATCCCTCAATGGTACTGGTTGGATTTTATTCTATGCTCTGGTGCTTCTAGAATGTATTGTTTGATCATCAACATCTCTATTGTCTTTACGTGTAGCTTCATCATGATGTTGCATCTTCTTCATATTCATATGCATCACTATGGTGTATACATGCATCTTGTGTATCTTCACTTAGCTTTTATATGCTTGTCTATCACCTCCATTTTAATCTGTGAACCTGCATCAAACCCAACTTAAGCAAAGAAAACATTTCAGCACATTATGCACTATCATTATTCACACACAATTCATTTCATTTCTAATTCAATTATAAGATAGTATCATGAGCAATGCATCATAAATTTATACTGGACAACTTAACACCCAAACATGTGTTGTAACATACTAAAAATGCACTCAGAGAACACAAAAACATTTTACTTATATATTGCTAACTTGATGCATATATGAGCATCGACATAACATAGGTTCATAAAAATCAATTTCATCTTTAAATAGAAACATTCATGTGTATGGACATAAAACAGAAATCAAGCACCATAACAAACCAAAATTATAAATCAAACAACACAAAAATAATAAAATGAGGTAGGATTCCCCAAGAAAATCCCTTCTCATCCATTATAATCCATATTACTAACCATAACATGATATAGGTAACTACACAATGCAGTGTGCTCACACCCGAATGCAGCGTGGTAAACCAGGAAGCACTAAAAAATGGTTTACAATTTAACTTGTGTTTTTTAGACAAGTAAAATTAAAATACACATCACTTAAAAAAGAGTAGGATTGCATTCACAAACACCATATTGTACACAAATTTCATTCTTATTAATCCCTAGTAATATACCTTGAATACTATGCGCCAACATTCCACACAAATTTTATATACTCGTCTCACAACACATGTTTTCAAACAAATACATTCAAAGTATGCAGTGAGACTATATACACAATGCATTATTGTTTCTGGACAATGCACAATAACTTTACGCAAACAGATATGAAAAACACCAAGCAAAATTGTGCATACATTGTTAGATGAATGAAGAAACAAGAAAACCCTAGTTTTAAGATGCAATATCTCTATAGAATCTGAAACACTTTCGCCAATAAAACATTAACACATTCAAATTGCATCCGAGACTATTCTTTTCACACCATATTAGGCACATCATATTGCTAAGAACATGCACAATAGAAAACCCCATAAAGTTAAAGAAACTAATATACCAAAAGAGGATGATGAAGAAATTCTCGCAACTGCAGTTTCCAGCCGCTCCCACGTGTTTCGAAATTTTTTTACACCGTGACGACTATGAAATTTGATGAGCGACGAGGATGATGAAGTTCTTTGTGATTTTCTTGATTTCAAGGAAAGTTATGGTGTTGGTCTGTTGGAAACGGAAGATATCTAAATTAATCGAGATTCATTGCGGAAGAGGTGGGATATTAATATCCCTTTCTGTTACGATGCATTTTCAATTCCCAAAAAGCCCTTGGAATCCATCGTGTCCCTACTTTTTCTCAATGCAATAATCACTTTCCATGTTAGAAATACAATTTACTCTCGTTTTTTCGAATAATATCAATGGTCAGATTCTTTAGATCTATGGCTTATATTTATTCTTATTTCTTTCGTTGTGAGTTATTCTTACTTGAACCAACCCCTATATATATATATATATATATATATATATATTTATTTATTTATTTATTTATTTATTTATTTATATATATATATATAGGGGTGAGATCATGTGAGAAAGGCTCCTAGTGAAAGAAATAAGAATGATGGAGAGCCCTTGGATTTGGACGAATGGATGGCTGTGATTGTTCAATCACTTATTAATGAATGGTGGGCTGCACAAGGTAAGTTTAAAATTACATGTTTTAAAAAAAGGGAAGCAGCACAAAAGGGGTATTTTTGCCATTGAAAAGTACAGACGTGCACGTCCCAAAAAGGAATCCCGCCGGGTATTCCTATTTTTGTGCTACTTTCGAGTAGGAAACGCAGAAGCAAAATTCACACTCCATTTTTGAGAGGGCTCTTGGAGTTGTACACTGCATTTCGAATTCTTGTGGCTATGGCACCGGATAAAAATGTTAGCGATAAGAGTCCGACACCTTTAACATCGCCGGAAGAAAGAGGTAATGTTTTATATTAAATTTTTTGAGAAATTGAAGATTATGGTATATTCTGATTCAAAAAAGTAATTGCATGTGTTCCAGTAGGGTTTCAGATGTGTTTTGTATTTGCGTTTGGAAAAAACGATGCACATAGTTTATTTTTTATGTCTTTGATTTTGGAATTGGGGGGGGGGTCGGTAATATAAAATTGAGGATTATAGGTCAATTGTTTTTTTGGGTTTTGGGTGAGGATGGGTGTAGCATGAGTCGTTGATTGATAAAATGTCACCTGTGCTTTGATGTTTTGTATGGTGCATTTCTAGAGTTTTGTTGTGCATGATTGTGGTATTTGTGTGCGTAGTGGTGGAAAGGGTTTGAATTGAAATTAACGTAATTGTGTTTGAAATTTTTAAGAAAGAAAGATTTTGTTTTTAAGGGATTGATTAATTAATTTTGAGATTTTTAAGGTATATGGCACTATTTAGCAGCAATACTGTTTTTTAAGCAATTTGTAGTCTTTTTGAGGCAGAGTGTCTGAAATAGTAAATGTTTAGATGGATTGCTGTTTCTATAATCTATTGCGATTGGAATGCAGTGTCTTTGATGATTAGTGCATTTGGTGAGTTTAATTAAGCATGGTAGTGCATTATATTATTATGGGTAATTTGGGTGAGGATGGGTGTAGCAGGAGTACTTGATTGATAAAATGTCTTCAGTGCTTTCATGTTTTGTATGATGCATTTCTAGGGTTTTGTTGTGCATGATTGTTGTATTTCTGTGCGTAGTTGTGGAGAGGGTTCGAATTGAAATTAAAGTAATTGATTTTGAAATTTTTCAGAAAGAAAGATTGGGTTTTTAAGGGATTGTTTAATTGGGTTTCTGAGTTTTAAGGTATATGGTTCTGTTTAGCAGCATTACTATTTTTTAAGCAATTCAGTGTAATTGGTATAGAAACAATGTTTAAATGGATTGTTGTTTCTATAATCTAGTGCAATTGGAATGCATGGTCTTTCATGTTTTGTGCATTTGGTGATCTGAATTAAGCATGGTAGTGCATTTAATTA